AACTGTGAGAAGAGTGAGAGAGGTGTTTCTCTTTACCCCTCCAACCATAAGGACCAAGGTTTGCCGAGTTTTAAGTTCTGTAAATAGACAAGGGTATGCTGTGAACTGTAACTGAATGGGAACTGTTGACAGCGTTGTCAGATCCCATACACTGTGCCTGGGTCCCCTGAACAAAGCCTCTGAACCACCAGAAGTCAACACTGCCATCGTTGAAACACAGATTCCTGTTTTTATGCCAGAGTCCTGCCTGGCCACGTGTTTCCACAGGCAGCAAAATTTCAGTATCCTTGTCTGGCTGGGCTTCAGTTTTTGGCAAGAATTTCCCCTTCTCTTGTGAACATCTTGGAAAGCTTTTCACTGATCACAAAGATGTTTATTTTGAGAAGCAAAAGGGACTAACTAAATAAGTTCAAAAACAATCTCTACCTCTCCCACCTGACGACCCTTACTTTTAGAAGGTAAGATATTTTGCTACCCCCACCACCTAATATAAGAGAACCCACAGGTGATACTATTTGGAATAGCTCTGAAGAAATGTGATTCTCTCTGTGACTTCAAACCCTGGAGAGGTATTAAGAATCTGGGGTGGGGAGGCATGGAGGAAAGGAGAAGGGGAAAGAAGTGGTAAGTCTAGGAGAGGGAGAGTGGTCATATTAAGAAGTTAGACAGCCAACCATTATCCAGCTGCCCCTCAATTGCCTGATTATTTCTCAAATACCTTTTGGAACAGTTTTCACACTGGTTTTAGAAGGGGTCGTGTCCAGGCATAGAACATAATTTGCTGGGCCTGAAGGATAGTGGCAAATATCACATGGTCAATGATTTTTGAGGCATGTTGATATATATAAACATGTCATTTTAGAATTATAACATATTTTAGAGTAATTGGTTCAAGTTTCTCATTTGAGAGATAAACAAAGATCCAGAAAATTAAGTGACTTTTCCAAGGTCATACATAATTCAGCAGTAAATCTGGGGATATAAGGCAAGACTCTTGATTTTTGTGGTTATTGCACCACACTGTGAAACAGTTATCCTGAAAGCTAACATTTCTTGTTGTTTGTTTGTCTATTGAGTGATTGACTAGCATTTTCTCTTTTTACTACATTGGATTTTTCACTGTTTAAAAATACTGTCAAATTTCCCTTCCAGTGTGAAGGGACTTAACAAAAGAAAGTCTCTATTCACTGTAATTAGCAGAGGTAAAAGTAATTTTTTAAAGTTTTGCTTAGAGGCTCAGACTTTAAACTTTCTCTCGAAGTTTCCAGTAGAAATATGGTAGTAGGGGCAGGGGTGTGATGAAAAAAGGAGACAACTGAACTTCTTGAAAGTGAGAAGGCAGATCCCTGAGGGCTTGAAGACAAGTGGAAGGACACTGATTTAGATCAAGATGAAACTTTAATTTCTTCATCGTGGAAACTGCCAACACTTTATGAATAGGTTCTTGAAGTTGTTTGTCTCTGATATATAGAGAGCTCTTCATGAGCTATTAATTAGTAATAGGAGGGAATCATATCACTAGTGTCAACAGATGGTGTAAAGTCACAAATCAGTCTGGGTTGTGGAGGTAGAAGATTAATGTCACTTAGATCAATACTCTTTATTCTTCTAGAACAAACTCAAGTGTGGAAGCCAAGTGCGAGAGGATACCTCTGGGATCCCCTCCGTTCATAGGCTCTTAAATTCTTAGTATTCGATTTTCCCATTGCTTGCCTCTCTCCTACACCTTTATATCAAACATCAGTCCCTTTGCCATCGAGTCCCATGATTTACAAATAGACACACTCAGTTTTCTGCCAATGCTGGATGATCTTCATTGCTTTTCAGTCTCTCTAAATCCATTTTATTCTGCCTTTTAAGGTTCCAAGGACACCAAATTCCTGTCCCCACCCAACCCACCCACCCCACCCTCAGTACACAATTTCTCTCCTTTCTCTTAAGAAAGCAATAGTCACTGGATTTTATGTTTCTCCTCTACTCCAGAGGGAAGGAAGTGACACCAGTTTGAGAGGGTTCTTGTTAATATTGCTGCTATTGGCCAAGTATTATTTTGCTTTTTAGCTATACTCACCTTGCTTCCTGGGTTTTGCTCTCTGAAGTTAACTCCTGATTTTAGCTCAGATGCAAAGAAATTCTGACAAGCCAAGAAGCAGAAGAAAAGCGTTGCCTATATTTTAGATCTAATAGTACAGTTGCAGAACTTCCAAAAGGGAAAGCGGTAGCAGGAGCAAAAGAAGTCAGGATTCCAAGTTTAACTGCCACATCGACAAAGATGAAAAGCAACCAGTCACTAGGATAACTGGTCTTTGATTCTTCTCCCAGACAGCATTCTCAACATCTTGAGGATTCTTTTGTTTTCCACTTAGCTAAACTGCAATGGACTGAATGTTTATGCAACCCCCCGCCTCCAGATTCATACACTGAAATCTTAACACCCAAAGTGATGGTATTAGGGGGTGGGCCCATTGGGAGGTGATTAGGTCAAGAGGGCAGAACCCGCATGGGATTCATCCTTATAAAAGACACCCCAGATCTCTCTGAGGTCACCCTTTCCTCATCGCTTCCACTCTATGAGATTATAGTGAAAAGACAGCTGCTGGGAAGCAGGCTCTCACTAGTCATGGAACGTGCCAATGCCTTAATCTTCAAATTCCCAGGCTCCAGAAGTGTGAAAATAAATGTTTGTTGTTTATAAGCACCCAGCCTATGACCTTTTGTTATAGTGACCCAAATGGACAAAGATATAAATGCAAAAATGTTTCTTGTTTGGGTGTAATGATGTTTCAGTTATCCAAGGACATTCTTCCTGATTCCTAATAAGTATCAAATTGTTGTAATTCTATCACTCACAGCTTATACTCCTAGGAACTAGTGAGGGCATTTCCCTTCCTCTGACAATTAAAGCCTGGATTTCAAAAATTGTCCTTTCTATGGAAATTCAAGGAAAATAATTCAAATGATGAAACTACTATGGTTTAGATTTTTAGTTTTTTTTTTTTCCTCTTTAGGTTAAAAGGTTATACTTTTCTATAACTACACAACTCTTAGGCAACTCAAAGCAATTTGACAAACAGTTTTTGATTAAAGAACTCCTGATACCCATACACAGATTACTTGTTTTTGTGAAGTTCTTCAATAAGTTGGGGATTTTATTTACAGCACAAATTAAGTTTTAAGTTAAAGAAGTGTGGTGTTTTAAAAACATGTTCACAAAAAAAATTTTTTTTTAAGATTTTATTTACTTTTTTGACAGAGAGAGACACAGCGAGAGAGGGAACACAAGCAGGGGGAGTAGGAGAGGGAGAAGCAGGCTTCCCGCGGAGCAGGGAGCCCGATGCAGGGCTCGATCCCAGGACCCTGGGACCATGACCTGAGCTGAAGGCAGATGCTTAACAAATGAGCCACCCAGGCGCCCCATGTTCACAAAATTTTTGACGCCCCCTCCTTTCAAGAGGTGGAAATTAATTCCTCCTTTTGAATGTGGGCTGGACTTGGTGAACTGCTTAGGATGAATAGAATGTGGTAGAAATGATGCTATGCTGCAACCAAAGCTAGGTTATTAAAAAAGGATTGCTTCTGCTTGGCTCTTATTCTCCTGGATCACTTGCTGGAGGTGGGAGGCATGCGAGGAGCCAGCTGCCATGTCATGAGAACACTAGTACATCCCTGGGAGAGGTTTATGTGGAAAAGACCTGAGCCCTGCCCCCCAAACCAAGTCACATGTGGGAGCCATCTTTAAAGAGGATACTCTAGCCCCATCAAGTCTTCAGAGGACTACAGCCTCAGCTAATATCAACTCTAGCCTCATGAGAGACCCCAAGCCAGAACTACCCAGCTAAGCTGCTCCAGAAATCCTGACCCATAGAAACTGCCAGAGATAATAAATGTTTATTGTTGTTTTAAGCTACTAAGTTTTGGGGAAATCTGTTGTGCAATAATAGATAACTAATATAGGAAGCAATTAGCAGAGGATATTGTTCTATTCTTGAAACCCTATTTTTGAAATGTGAAAATAACAATTATTGTACAATCAGAAAACTCTTTTTTTCCAGCTATTTACAGTTTATTCTCATTCATTTGGATTACAAAAATCCCACCCAAAATGCTCTGAATCTCTATTTTTCTTTCCATCTGTTCACATTTGAAAGGTTGATATGCATTATTTGCATGTGAATGCATGGATGTGAATGGAACAGGAATTGCCAAAAAGGGTTAAGAAAACTGAAAGTTAGATACAGTCCCCTATTACATATTAAATATTTTACACATATTATCTCCTTTGAAATCTCTTTTTTGTCTTGGAGAAAATGCTTTAGTTTTGGATTGGTGTTAGCTCCAAAGTACTAGCTTCTTTAGGGCCTTCACTTCTTCAGTGAATTACTGGTAAGTTCTCATCTTCTGCCCTCTGGCAAAACTCTCTTCTAAGGCCTGGATCTGACTATATCACCTTTTCACTCAAAACTTTCAAGAATAATGGAACACTACATCAAAAACTAATGATGTAATGTATGGTGATTAACATAATAATATAAAAAAACCCAAAAAAGATGTAAAAAAAAAAAAACTTTCAAAGATTACTCACTGTATTCTAGATTGAGGTCAGTCATCAAAATACCTACACCATGTGTGGTCATATACAGGGCTTAAAACAAGACAGTGTCTGGGAGAATGTTTTATCCACCATAAGGCATGTATAAGTATGACATAGCCTCTTCCTTAATGTTATATAATACCCCATAATGTCTTCCATTTCCTAAGGAATTAGAATCCATTGGTAACCCCAGTTTAGTAATACCTGTTTTCCTTGGGTAATGAAGTTTACTGGAATCTTTTAGATTTATTGCTATTTTCTACATAATACAAGACTATCTATTCTTTCCTATCCCTCTGCTAATCTTCATGATGGGTTTGGAGATACTAACTCATTGGTTTTTTTAAGAAGAGAATTTCAAAGGAAAGTGAACTCATCTCTAGTCATGGTGGCCATTAATGTAATCTACCTGAAATGGTGGATGGGAGTTGGTGAGCAGCATCTTCCTGTAAAACAGTGTAGGGGAGGAAAATCTCTTTTTCCTTCTGCCCTTCTAGGTTCTCTGCTGGGGCTCTGTAACAAAAGACAAATAAATAAGAAAAAATAAATAAATAAAAATTTATTTAATATAAGTTTTACATGACATGGGAGCCTATATAAGACCTGAAGAAGCAGTTAAACCTTAACATTTTTGTACAAGGTTTGATGAAGAGTGGAAAGTCATGGAAAAATGTGATGGTACAAAAAGTATGAGGTAAGGGTAATAAACTGGGGGATGTTTAGCAAAGTCTGTTCAGATTCCTCCCACTATCCCATATTTAGAGATAAGGATGCTCCTTTCCTCTGGGTATGGGGCAGGCACCTCTCACATGAGGGTCTTATGACTGGCTTTAGGGGAGAAGGCCAGAGAGTCCTTCCAACATCTATTTCTCAAGATCCCTCAGCTTAGGGGTGCCTGGGTGGCTCAGTCATTAAGCGTCTGCCTTGGGCTCAGGTCATGATCCCAGGGTCCTGGGATCGGGCCCTGCATCGGGCTCCCTGCTCAACGGGAAGCCTGCTTCTCCCTCTCCCACTCCCCTTGCTGTGTTCCCTCTCTGGCTGTCTCTCTCTGTGTCAAATAAATAAAAAATCTTAAAAAAAAAAGATCCCTCAAGTTAAAATATTTAATATGCCAAGATGCCATATTTTGGGGTAGTGTGTCCTAAACCCCACCACCAGCAAACCATGAAAATCATGTCTGGAGTCATGTTGAAATCATATGGTGCCAATAGCCAGTCATTTTTCAGCATTACATGAACTGAGTGTGATCTTTGGAAATCTTCTGCTTATGTACCAGTTATTAAATTTTTACTTTCAATTTCAGACCCAGTCTTTTCTATTCTGCTCTGCATTTCTGCTTTACCAGCAGGTCCCTGTTAGGCTCTGTCAAAAGGGGCTGCTGAGGGAGACTGCGAAATTAGAGGGAGAGGGACTTGCTTCTGCCTGTTTGTTTTCTCTTTGCTTCCTCTCTACCTGTGGCTCCTGTGGAGCTTCATTCCAGCAACGCTTCTTCATCCCTGAACAGCAGTTCCTTCCCATAGTAGCAGTTGAATCCACGTTAGAGTTTTCCAGCACCTGTATAACCAGCTTCATCCTCTCCCCACCACTAGCCCCAGCTTGTGGGAACCCTTTCCTTAGCTGTCTGAATTTCAGCTTCTCAGAACCCTCTTCTAAAGTTTGAATTCCAACCTCTTACCTTTCTTCTCCTAGCCCTAGGAGTGGGTGACAGTCATGAGAATGCCCCTCACACACCTTCAGCTACAGAGAAAATAATTAGGGTTGCTAGATTTCACAAATAAAAATACAGGATGGGGGCGCCTGGGTGGCTCAGAAGTTTAAGCGTCTGCCGTCGGCTCGGGTCATGATCCTAGGGTCCTGGGATCGAGCCCCACATCAGGCTCCTGGCTCAGCGAGGAGCCTGCTTCTCCCTCTCCCTCTGCCTCTCTCCCTGGTCATGCTTTCTCTCTCTCTCTGTATCTCTGTGTCTCAAATGAATAAATAAAATCTTAAAAAAAAAAAACTAAAAAAAAATACAAGATGGATACCAGTTAAATGTGAACAAAAGATAACTTTGTAATGTAGGTACATCCTTTGCAATATTTTGGGATATGCTCATACTAAAATTTTATTGTTTATCTGAAATTCAAATCTAACTTGATGTCCTATATTTTATCTGGCAAACCTAAGCTTAATTAACCAAGGGCCCCGACTACTGCTTTTTGAAATCCATCCATTGCTGTGTCTGCTCTGAAACAATTTCTCCCCTGGCCTGTTCCCGATGATGACTGAGCATGCCAGACCACCGAGGCAGATTCCTGGGACACCTGGGACTCCTGTGACTGGCAACTTTGGCTCAACTCCTGTGACTGGCAACTCTCCTATGGCCTAGCAGAAACTTCCTTAGATTTTATGGTCCCTTTCTCCTTCAGGCAGTTTAGACATCTCAGTCTTACAGCTCTCCCAGCTCCCTCCAGGTTTCCTTTCACACATGCATTTCCCCTTAGTGAAATCCTTGCAGGTTTAATCCTGTCTTAGTACCTAACACAAGGTAGGCTAACACAGGGTAGGAGCAGCTTCCTACTTAGTACTCGGTGAGGCTTTAGTATTTCTTTCTACTCTTTCAGTTACCTAGTAAAACAACTCACTACCTTGCTAACAATTCTTTATATTAAATCTTCTCTCTTGAAATAATTGTTGTGGTTTCTGTCTCTTGACTAGACCCAGACTGGGTGCCCCTGAGCTTCGTGAAAACTCTTAATTTCTCCAGGAAGTTTAAGAGACTAAGCCACTCCATTAAACGGATGTGGGATGTTTATTTTCCCTTAACTTCCCTTGTTATTTAACAGAGTTGGCAAAACAGGTTGAGCAAGATAACTGCCTGTTGTGTTCGATTCTGGGAGTCACACTTGGACACGGCAGACTAGAAGGGCTTCACACGAAGGTAATCACGAAAATTACAAATCTTGAAGCCGTTCCCAGTGAGGGGTGTGCTTATTCAATCTGAAGAAGAGAAGACTGCAGGAGGATGCGGTTCTCAAGTATTTGAAGGTCAGTCGTATGGAAACTGGATTAAACTTATTTTGCAGGGCTCCAGAAGTTAGAACTGGAACCTATCAGCAGAACTAGAATGAGACATGTGAGCCCAAAATTTGGCAATAATGCAAACCTGTGTTCCTTTAATATTTGCTAAACATTTATCTGGCAAGAGGAGAAACCATTTTTTTCCTACTAATAAAATGTGTCTTTCTTTACGTTCAAAATAAAGGACTTATTACATGTGGTAACATAACAATAATTGTTTCACTTTTTGAAATTTTTTTCCGGTTTTTATATGACTCACAACTGCATAATATAAATCACTTACACCCACAAAGTAAGAATAGAGGTCACTTACATGGGATCATTAAGTATGCTGTCCAAACATAGGTAAGAGTTCGTCCATCTGACTTTTATGTTGGCACACATTTTCTTGTTTTGTCCAATAGTTACTGTAATATAGTCTTCTTAGGTTATTTTACAATTATCTCCATGGAAAAAAATCATGACCTAATAAAGGGTTTGTGACTTAGATAATAAAATAAACCACCTATTCCTAGTAAAAATACCATGGCATTATTGAGTTTTCGAATTTCAGATGACCAGATCTTCATACTTCAGTGGGCAAGTGTTGAAGTTAGGGGGACTAAACTTTATTCTGCTTGGGCTACTTATGAATTTGTCTCTCAAAAACACTCAACATGGGGCACCTCAGTGGCTCAGTTGGTTAAACTTCTGACTCGATTTCAGCTCTGGTCATGATCTCAGGCTCCTAAAATGGAGCCCCGCATCAGGAGTCTGCTTGTCCCTCACCCTGTGCTCTTCCCCCACCCCCTGCTTGTCCTCTCCCTCTCTCTCTCAAATAAATAAATAAATAATCTTTAAAGAAAATACTCAACAGGGGTGCCTGGGTGGCTCAGTCATTAAGTGTCTGCCTTCGGCTCAGTTCATGATCCCAGGGTCCTGGGATCGAGCCCCACATCGGGCTTCCTGCTCCGCGGGAAGCCTGCTTCTCCCTCTCCCACTCCCCCTGCTTGTGTTCTCTCTCTTGCTGTCTCTCTCTCTGTCAAATAAATAAATAAAATCTTAAAAAAAAAAAGAAAATATTCAACAAAGATAGCTTAATGTAGATGAAGAATATATGTTTTTTAAATTTCCCCTTTGAGAGCACTATCTACTTCCATATAGCAGGACTGGTTTATATGACCTCAGTATTATGAAGAGTGGCACCATTTAACAACTGGGTTTAGGGATATTATGGCACCACTTTTTTTTTTTTTTTTAAAGAGAGCTTAGATTTATTTATTTATTTTTAAGATTTTTATTTATTTATTTGACAGAGAGACACAGTGAGTGAGGGAACACAAGCAGGGGGAGTGGGAGAGAGAGAAGCAGGCTTCCTGCCAAGCAGGACCCTGAGATCATAACCTGAGCCGAAGGCAGACGCTTAACGACTGAGCCACCCAGGCGCCCCTTAGCACCACTTTTATTTTAAAAGTTTATTGATTTATTTGAGAGAGAGTGAGAGAGAAAAAGACAGAGAAGACACACAGCCGGGGGAGGGACAGAGGCAGAGGGAGAAGCAGACACCCCACTGAGCAGGGAGCCCAATGCGGGATTCGATCCTAGGACTCTAGGATCATGACCTGAGCCGAAGGCAGATACTTAACCGACTGAGCCACCCAGGCGCCGCTTAGCACCACTTTTTGTTTAATCCTCAGGAGCTGCATGGTTTGTCTGTCCCTTAATTCAAATCTCCAGTGGGTAAAAATTACAGGGAGCATATTTCTGGGGGTACCTCACTAAGAACTAGAGTTTCTAAAAATAAATTGAGCTACCTTGCAAAGTAGAGAGTTCCTCAACATTGAATGCTATTTATCATGGACATTACAGAAAAGAATTCTGCACATGGAAGGAAGATAAACTGGAATAACAGACAGAAATAACTTCATATAGATAAATGTAAAGTCCTATCTTGTGATACTTTAACAGGCTGTAGGATATTGGCACAACAATGGTTCACAAGAAAAAGATATTAGGAAATGTTCTGTGATGCTTGAAGATAAAGCAAAAGAGAGGACTGTATGTCCTTTCAATGTCATACATTGTTCAAGAGTCCCCTTGTAGGACTTTTTAATTTTCTAGGAGAGTGTGAAGAGTTTGGCTTTGTTATTTATTATTGATTAAAGCCAAGACACTATGAAGGTACCTGTTAACTTGTAGGTTTTTACCTGATAGAGATCCAAATGATTTCTCTTTGGTGGGAAAAAATAATCTCAAAATGTATGCTTTATTGTTCTATTGGATGTTACCTAGATTTTTTTTCCTAACTAAAAAAAAAACAACAACAAAAAACCTTATTGCAATGTGCCTTTCTTGATGGACTATAAAAGCCTTATTTCCTCAAATGTTTTCAAAATCAGCTTTATTATCCTACTGATTATCCTCCTAATTAATGAGTTAAGTTTTTTTACCTGTGCTCATTCTGTATTTCTATG